CTTCGGAGTCACATGCAAAGATGTTTCGGGAATATTGTTTAACTCTCTGACGCTGTCTTGGCACTCTTTTTGATCGTCTTCGCGTCCTTTTTGCCGCCCCTCAAACCACCGTAGAAATCGAGATTCCATGTCCCCATGCGTTGAAACATTAAAATTTCTTTTACAACAAACTCACCACCTGCTTCTTTGTGCACGAAGATCCCGAGAGGCATCCCGACGGACCGTGGTCTGTATCCAGACAGCGTCTAACCCACAGCCCAGGCACGGTAACTTGAAAAAATGGGAATTCCGCAAGTCCCTTTTTTCTCAAGTTCGGCACCTGTCTACTCTTGCACAGCAGACCACAAAAAGGCCCCCGTCAGCTCCCAGAGAAGAAGCCAGGAAGCCTTTGAGGGCCGTAAATCGTGGAATACCTAAAGGAACTTAAGTATTATCGCATTTCCCGCAGTTCCTTTCCTATACGGTTCTGATCGGTTCCGAGGCTTGCGCAGGGCCTCCAAGAGAGTCCCTGGATGCAAGACGCCAAGAAGCGGCAAACATAGGAATCCATGATTTAGCCCATCAAGCCTAGCTAGAACTTGAGCGCGCGCGAAGCGCGCGCGATGGTTCTAGTCTCTATCTCTCTCTCTCTCTCCTGCGCTTCCGCCTCCCGCTTCCCTTTTCCCGACACCGACACCGAGGACCTCCTTTTTGACAGTTTGCTGTAGCGCTTGGTCGACGAAGAGAGAGAGAGAGAGAGACAGAGAGAGAGAGAGAGAGAAGAAAGCGTCAAGATGCCGACCCAGGCTCAGGGGCCAACTGAATTGAGTCGGGCAGGCGTAGCGGAGCAAGGAAGGCGAAAGGGACAGTGGTAGAGATGCCAGCCCTCACGGGCACAGGGTATACGCTTGCTAGACAGTAAGGTGGAGAGGGGAGAGAACTTTAAGGACCTTCGCCTCCTCCTCCTCCTCCTCCTCCTCTTCCTCCTCCTCCCTCAGGCTTAGGTCTCTCAACGTAAGACGCCGTGCCTGCCTAAGCTTGCCTCGCTTGGCTGTCCCTGCGGCTCTTGGGCCTCGGTTCTTCGCTCGGTCGCCGTCCCCTCGCCGGGCTGTTTTTCCTCTGGCCCTCGCTCGTTCGCTTTTTTCGGGCCTTCGTTCGGTCCTGCTTCTGCCTAGGGATTAGCGCTTGACTGCAACCCATGTCCAAAACAAGATCCTCCTCCTCCTCCTCCTCCTCCCAGTTCCTGGATCCTGGTGTTCTGACGATTCGTTAAACGCGGCCATCCCCCCCATGAGCGGTAGTAGCCCTAAGGGGGTTGATCAAATTAGTAAGCTGTAGTGCAAAAGTGAGGCACACGATACAGACCTTGGAGTGGGAGAGCGTAGTGGGGGAAGCAAGAACGCAGGCGGCAGTGGCGGTGGGAACGTTTGGCGTCGACGGCGACAGTATAGGGCACAGCGCTAGCGTTGGCGGCTGTCTAGCCGAGAGCCCTTGGATGCGGAGGAGGAGGAGGAGGAGGAGGAGGAGGGAGGAGGAGGAGGAGGAGGAGGAGGAGGAGGAGGAGGAGGAGGAAGAGGAGGAGGAGGAGGAGGAGGAGGAGGAGCAGGAGGAGGAAGCTGAGTGCCCCTGTCAGGTGAGCCAGCGTGGCTGGGGCCACGCTCGCCAGAAGGTAGGACGGCGCAATGGCCTCTCCTGCCTCGCCCCTACAGTCAACGCGCCTTCGCAAGGACGCGCGCCTTCATCCAGGGTGTTCCCTCGCGTCTTTGCCCCTGCAGCCTGTCCTCTTCTGTTTTCGCTGCTCGTCCGCCGCCCAGAAAATCCCGACTTCGGCCTCCAGGGGCCCTGCGTCTCTACGTTTGGACTAAATGGGATCCCAGGAGGGACGACCCCCCGTCGAGGCCAGGCAACCCTCACCCTCCGAGGCAGGCGCAGGGTTGCCACGGGCGCGACACGGGGCCACCCAGGGATCCCCACCGGGTAATTCAGGAAAGGTTGGCGCCTTTCTGCGGCGGCGGCGGCGCCGGTCTGCAGTACTCTGTGTAAAGACGTTCTCTTTCCGGACAGGAGCGCGTTGATGCCGTCGTGCCACCTCGTCCGTGGTCGGCCCCTATTGCGGATTTTGTCGGGTATCCACCGCACGACTATGGACGGCCAAGAACCCCAGTCTGAGCTCGATTTCTGCATCAGACGCCTCCTAGCCCGGTCAACAATTGTGGAGCCAATTTGAAACTTGGTAAACGTTGTCCATTGCCCATCGGATATTCTATTTGTTGCGGTGCCCTGCGTCTTCCCACGTATCGCCATCCAGCTTGGTGTACCCCACGACACCAAGAACGGGAAACCGACTTGGTCGAAATGTTGTTCAGCGTCCAGCACAGGCTGCCAGCGTTCAAAAAGCATGCGCGCGAAGATTTTGAAGGTTATCTTCAGGATGGTAATCGGCCTCAAGTTCTTCACGTCGTGGCGGTTGCCGGTCTCTGGCAGCATCATGAAGAAGCGTTGTTACAACGACGGGTCAAGGGCGCAGTCGCGCAGCACGCCATTCATGCCCTCCAGCAGTGCCTCGTGAAGATTGTCGCCTTCGTGCACAATCATCGCCAGGATTATGCCTCGCCTGTCGTTGCACTTGCCTAGCAAAAGCTTCGGCGCACTTGCCTAGCAAACTGAGGAGGTGGGCAATGGCGAAAGCTTAAGCTGCGGCTTGAGAAGCGGCGAGGTAGCCGCTGTAGCGATTGGCGGCTGTCCTGCTTAGGTAAGACGGATGGTTCACGCGGAGAAAGACAAGAGTTGGAGGAGGAGGAGGAGAGGGAGGAGGAGGAGGCAGAAACGGTGCTAGGGGCAGCCGAAATAGTGTGAGCTGTGGTGCGAGAAAGCTGCGTGGCCGGCCACGGTGTGGCTCGGCGTCTGCGGTTGTCGTGGCCAACGCCACGGCGGCCGCCGGCGGTTGTTCCATCCCGCCCCACAAGAGCGGAACGATCGGTTTTCGGTTCTCGAGAGGGCGCCGCGGCCGTCATTTTCCAGGCTTGCGCCCGCCAGGTTTGGGCCCGAGGTCTTTTTCACTAAACCACGTTTTACTAAAGGGGGTTCTGTCCCCAAGTGGTACAGGTCTAGGTTCGATGGGAGGGAAGTAGGCGAAACGTGATAGAAGATGGCGGCCAGTAGGGAGCGGGAGTGTTCTGGGAGAGAGCTTTCGTTGGCCTAACTGATGGTGGGTCCTTCGTGTCGCCTGCCTCCGAGGCCCCACGACGGTGGGAGGAAGGATCATGAAGGTGACACCAAGGAGGCGCCTGAGAGGACTCCATCAATTGGCCGTTATCCTGAACAGTGTGAGTGAGAAAGTTGCGGCGGCTTTTGGAAGAATGCGTCGGATGTGGTGCGTCTACGTCCTCTTCCTCCTGCTGCTTCTCCTCCTCGTCCTCCTCCTCCTCGTCCTCCTTCTCCTCCTCCTCCTCCTCCTCCTCCTCCTCCTCCTCATTCTCTCTTTCTGACTTACAGTACGTCTCGCATGTCGTGTGCCCCGACACGTCAGAATGCAGAGGCATCCGCAGCGGTGGTCGTTCGTTCCCGATCCTGCCGCTGCTGTCATTGCTTTGACTGTTGCGTGTCGCGGGTCTGTGACGACTGCTTCTGCCGCTGCCAGCCGCTGCTGCTGCGGCCCGTCTGTCGCGCGGACCGCGACCCCATAGGGAGCTTCACTTGTGGCTCCCGTGGATGCTCTCATGGCGTCCCAGCGCTCAGTTCGGCACTCCCCTTCGCGCGGATCGTGCCAACAGGGAGCTCGACCTGTTGCCCCAGTGGAGGGGTTCGCATGGCGTGCCCGCGCCCACTTCGGCACACCCTCACGAGGATCGTGCCTTGCATAGAGCTCCAACCATGGCTACATGGAGCTGCTCGCATGGCGTCTCCGCGCCCTTCTTGGCACTTTTCTCACGCGGATCGCGTCTCACACTGAGCTCCACCTGCGGCTTCAGCGATGGCTTTCACATGCGTCCAAACGCCCACTTCGCACACCCCTCCCGCGGATCGTGCCCCACAGGGACCTCTACCTACGGCCGCAGCGGGAGGGTTCGCATGCAGGCCCACGCCCAGTACGGGGCACCCCTCACGGATCGTGTCTCGAAGGCACTTGGGAGCTCCATCTACGGCCTCAGCGGGCGCGTTGGTATGCGGGCCTCCGCCGTAGTCGGCACGCTCCTCTCACGGATCGTGCCCCAGAGGGGGCTCCACCTGATTACGGCTCTAGTGGGCGCGCCCGCATGGGAATATTCTAGTCCTCGAAGAGGAATATTCTAGTCCTCGAAGTCCGAAGTTCCGTGCCGCCAAATGGGGTCCGAGCAGATCGGGCTGGAGGTCCTCGCCGCATTGCTAGCCACCCACCATCTGTGCAGCTGTTCATCTGGACCTCCACGACAGCCGCGAATGAATGAACACCGAGCCGCCCCCTAAGAAGGATTATCGGACATGAGCGCCCACGAGGACCTCCGCAAAGAGTCCCAGTCCTGGTCCGACCCCCCTAAACGGGCCAAAATTGTAGAAGACGGCCAACGGCACAGCTTTATGCTTTGGTCTTCGATTATTGCATGGAGGTCGCCCAAGTGCACGGTACCCATCGACCTTCATCCCTCCAGCAGGCGCTCGTCACAGTGGACGGGAGTTCGTTCAGTTCTAGCCATTTGTCACAGTGGATGGGAGTGCTTGTGTGTCCTCGCAAGGAAAAGCCTTCGGGGCGGGACGTGCGTGTTGAAGCGCCGGTGGTGCGTGCTGGGGTTATGGTTCAATATTTTATTTATCCTCCTCTTCTTCTTCTTCTTCCTCCTCCTCCTCCTCCTACTCCTCTTCCTTCACACTCCTTCTAATCCCTGCTTTCCTTTCCTCCTCTTCTTTCGCTGCTTCTCGCCCCCCGTGTCCTTCCCTCCTCCTCCTCCTAGCTTTTTTATTCATCCGTGTTTCTTGTCCTCCTCGTTCTCCTTCGTGGATCCCCTCTTCGCCTAGACGCTCCCGCTCGCGACCCTCGCGCGCAGGAGCCAGCAGTCCGATCGGCCAAAAGCGCCGGGAAGTCTTTCAAGACCGTGGAGGAGGCGCCCGCCCGCAACTCCGCGGAAAAGCGAGGGAGGAGGAGGGGGAGCGAAAGGCGAAGGCCAAGACGGCTGCCGAACGGCCACCACATCCTCAAGCCATGGCCCCCGACCACGGGGGTGGCGGAGCGGTGGTTGCACACGGAGGCAAGCACCGCCCGCCGGCCCCTTTACCCTCTCTGCTGCTCGTGGCCTTGGTCCTGCGGTGGCATTGGGGCGTCGCCAGAGAAAGAGGAGACGGCGGACGTCGCAGAGGACCAGGCCACTGCCGTGGGTGCGATCGGAGAGCAGCGGCACGGAGGTGGACGGACCCAGCCAGACGAGATCAGGCACTCTTGGGCCGTCGCTGCGGAGCGGGGCGGCAGCGAGTCCGACGAAGAGGGGCTGGACGGGGCAGCGAAGCTACATGCGTGATTGCGTCCCGTCTCCCATCCCCGTGCGCGCCGTCCGTTTAAGCCTTGGCTCAAGCCGCTCTGGCTCGATGTCCGCCGAGCTGGCCGCGGGCCGCCTGGGGCCGGGGGTCGGCCCTGACCGCTGGCGCGCCTGGCGGGCGCTGGGAAGGGGGGCGCCTCTCCGGGCGTCTCCTCTCCCAGCGCCCGCCCCCGCGCCGTGTCCTCGGTCCCTGGCGGGCCAACGCGGGCGGCCCTGCGGCGGCGGCAGCGCCTTGCCGCCGCCCGCCAGGCTGGGCCGCCCTGGCTTTGCTGCGGTGCTGACAATGCCGCCGCCGCCGCTGGGGCCGCCCTGGTGCCAGGCGGCGGCGCCGTGGCTGCCCTGGCCGCTGCTGCCCGCTGCTGCCGCTGCTGCCACTGCTGCCGCTGCTGCCGCTGCTGCCGCTGCTGCCGCTGCTGTTGCTGCTGCTGGCTCCCCGCTGGCGGCTGCGGTGGCCGGCGGCGGCGGCGCTTGGCCCCCTGGCGCGCTCGCCGTGGTCGCCGTTGCTGCTGCCGCCGTGGCCGCTTCGCGCGGGCCGCCGGCGGCGGCTGCCCTGGCTGGTGTTACGGCCGCCTTGGCCCTCGTTTCAGCGGACGGCGGGCTTGCCCTGGCCGCAGCGTCTGCCGCCGCCGCCGCCGCTGCTGTTGCCGCAGCTGCCAGGGCCTCGCCGGCGGTGGCAGCGGCTGACGGCGCCTGGCCAGCGTCGCGGCGCTCCCCGGCGCGGGCGTAGTGAAGGATGATGTGGACGCGGGGAAGTACGTGGGGGACGTGGGGAGGGACGGAGCTGTGCCAGCGTCTTCGTCAGCACAGCTGAGATCGCTGGCGCCATTGGCCCCGCCAGCGCAGCTGAGAGCGTCGATGACGTCACCTTCGGCAGCACAGCCCGGGTCACCAGCGTCAACATCTTCCCTAATGCAGCCGAGAGCTTCGGCGACAGCATCCGTGTCAGCACAGTCTGGATTGCCGATGCCGCCGTCCTTGCCAGCGCAGCCGAGGGCAGCGACGCCAGCATCCTCGCCAACACCGTTTGGATCGCCAGCGCCACGATCCCCAACAGCGCAGCTGAGTGCATCGGTGCCAGCATCCTCGTCTGCACAGCCTGGATCGCTGAAAACCAGCATCCTCGTCAGCGCCATCGGGTGCATCGACGCACGCATCCTTGTCATCACCGACGCTTTCATCCTCGCCAGCGCAGTCGAAGGCGGAGGAGGAGAAATGAGTGGGGCGGCAACGAGGAAGAAGACCCAGACCCAGAAAAGTTGCCCGCGCTGGGTCTGAGCGACATTCCGAACGACGGGAGCAAAGCGCCGATTCGAAAATGAGGCCCACGCTGCAGCGGGAGCACCTTTTTGAAGCACAGAGAACGATGGGATTCTAGACATACTTTTTGTTATAAGAACCATCATTTGCGGACATACTTGGTGTAACAACGCGCGGAGAGGACCCGCCATCTCCTGGGCGGAATCAGGGGAAAGAGGAGAGTAAGATTCATATTGTTGAATTGTGGAGGGATGGGACATGGAGAAGGGGGGAGTGAGCAGGAAAAGGCGACGGGTGTGGGTGGCGGAGGGGGATGATGAGGACGACGACGAGCAGAGAGGAATCAGGGAAAGCGCGCGGTAGATGAGGACGGGAAAGGGAAGGGAAGGAGGAGGGGACAGATGATGCGGAGGGAGGGGGATGAAGAGTTTGAGGAAGGGGGGGTGGAGGCGGAGGAGGATGAGGAGGAAGAGGAGGACGAGGAGGAGGAGGCGGAGAAGGATGAGGAGGAGGAGGAGGAGGAGAGGAAGAGGAAGAGGAGGAGGACGAGGAGGAGGAAGATGAGGAGGAGGAGGAGGAGGATGAAGAAACTGCCTGGGAGGATACTTGGGCGGAGGGTGAGGGTGCGGATGATATGGAGGATGACGAGGAGGGAAGAAGGGAGGTGGATGAGGGACAACCGAGAAGCTGCATGGAGGAACGGGGTCGGAAGTGGAAACAGGACCGCCATCGAGAGCAGACTCACTGGCGGACCTTGGGCCGACCTTGCCTGGTTTCTTTTGTCTGACACCAGCCGTCGCCACTCTGGCGACGCGACTGGGCTCACCATGATCTCCGCAGCGGTAATGTTGATGTGGCCATCGCTCTCATTTTGGCAGGCCTTCGGTATACGTGGAAAGCAAAACGAACGAAACAAATCAGTTTGTGTGTCGATGCTTGTACTTATTGCTGAACTCTTTTTTCTTCTTCCCTATCTCTCTTTCTCTACCGTTCGCTTTCCCTTAGTGTGTGTACCCTCTATTTCTCTATATATCTCTTCCCTGATGAAGGGCAAGTGGCAAGCTCAAGTCAAGCTGCAGGCAAGCTGGAATGTAAATCAAAGGCAAGACCTACGCAAACCGACAGCAAGCGAAATTCAAATTAAAGGCAAGCTGAAGGCGAGCTCAATACGAACCACATGTATGTGACCATACGGGTAAGGCGAGATTTCAGCTAAGTGGCGCACATGTTTGTAGCACGCCGTGCTCGCTGCCCTTCCTGCTTCTCCTCCGCTCCTTCCTTCTTGTCCTCCTGAGGCTCCCCGCGTGTCGTCCTGTGTGCCCCCCCATAAGCGTCTGGTGTCCGCAGGCGAGCCATCTTCAGACTGTCCCCCCTCGCCGCCAGACAGGCAGGGGGGGGGGGGGGGTGGAGGCCTCGGGCCACTGACCGACGCAGTCTGCGGCTGCAGCTCATTAGGAGGAGGGGCGCGGCGAGGTGTGGCAGTTTCTGGACAAGAAGCCCTGCTGCGGGCGCTACGCCTACGACCGCAAGAAGGGCTCCCTGATCTGCGGTCCCTGCATCAAGGCGGCGGCCCCCGAACGGCGGCCCAGCGCAGTGGCCCCCTGCCTCGATTGGACGTCGCGTAAAAGGGGGGGGGGGGCGTTAAATGAGGGGAGGGGGGGGCGGGAGCGAAGGATGCGGAAAATGGGCCCTTTGGGGCTCAGAGGGGGCCTGCAGGGCCCGAGCAGTGTACATTTCTCCCCCCCCCCCGATTATCCTCCCCCCCGCCGCCCCCCCATTAAGCGACGCCCAACTCGGTGCGAGGGGGGCAGCCTGCCGATGGCATCTCCCCACTGCGGCCTGACGTTCTCGAAGACAGTCCGTGGCGTCCTGGGCTCAGTAGCGTTTAAGCGATCCCCACCCCCACTGGGCCCTGGCATCTCAGTCCCACCATCACGCCCCGCCCCCCCCCGCTGGGGATGGGCCCCTCGGGATCCGAAGGGAACAGCCTATATCCCCATCCTGGGGGGGGGGTAAATCGGCCAGTGGGGCCCAGGCCACGCCAGTGGGCTGGCCATAGGGATTGGCTAAACGATGCTCATGAGCATGTATTCGTTTGGTGGGACCTTTTTGGCCCTCGCTGGAACAAAACTGCTTCTGCCGTGTGCAGCCTGAAGGTTGGCGAGGGCCCTTTCCTCTTGAGGTTCCGGACCCCGTGGTCCGCTGGGGCTGCGCTGTGGGGATCCCGAGGAGGAGAAGGATGCATCGAACCAGGAGGAGCAGTAGAAATCGGGAGAGCACCAGGAGGAGGAGGAGGAGGAGGAGGAGGAGGAGGAGGAGGCGGAGGAGGATCAGGAGGAGGAGGAAGCGGATGATGATGATGATGATGATGATGATGATGATGATGATGATGATGATGATGATGATGATGATGATGATGATGATGATGATGATGATGATGATGATGATGATGATGATGATGATGATGATGATGATGCTGATGCTGATGCTGATGCTGATGCTGATGATGCTGATGCTGATGATGCTGATGATGCTGATGATGATGATGCTGATGATGATGATGATGATGATGATGATGATGATGATGATGATGATGATGATGATGATGATGATGATGATGATGATGATGATGATGATGATGATGATGATGATGATGATGATGATGATGATGATGATGATGATGATGATGAATGATGATGATGATGATGATGATGATGATGATGATGATGATGAGGATGAGGATGAGGATGAGGATGAGGATGAGGATGAGGATGATGAGGATGAGAGAGGAGGAGGAGGAGGAGGAGAGGAGGAGGAGGAGGAGGAGGAGGAGGAGGAGGAGGAGGAGGAGGAGGGAGGAGGAGGAGGAGGAGGAGGAGGAGGAGGAGGAGGAGGAGGATATGAACGAGGGACAACGGGGGAGGATTTGGAGGAGGAGGAGGGATGACGATGAGTCTGAGGTCTCTCCTTCTGGAGGTCTTGGGCTTCGTGTGGGCCCTCTGGGCCGCGCGGCGGCGAGAGCCTGCCGCTCAAGAGGCATGCCCCTCGGGGCCTCGGGATCCCTGCTGCGACAGTGCGAGGGGCGGGAGGAGGAGGAGGAGGAGGAGGAGGAGGAGGAGGAGGAGGAGGAGGAGGAGGGAGGAGGAGGAGGAGGAGGAGGAGGAGGAGGAGGAGGAGGAGGAGGAGGAGGAGGAGGAGGAGGAGGAGGTCACTGCGGAGATCGATCGGCGGCTCGGCTTTTCGGAGAACATTAGGAAGCGGCAGGTTTGGTCGGGCACTCAGAGCGCCGAACACATAGGAGTGCGGGCCGCTGTCGGCGACGCCGCGACTTGGCCCCAGCTGCCTGAGCTCCGGGACGGGTGGGACCATATCCGGTCCCAGGTGCGCCGGCTCCGCGCGGTCCCCGGCGGGCAGCGGATCAGGGAGCTCGCGGCCTTGATGTGCATCGCTCCTAAACATCGGTGGTCGGCTCCATTCCGCGCGATCCCGCCGTGTGATCTGATCGCGCTCACGCTTCGGTCTGTTGTCTGGACTCGCTGCGCCTGGTGGTGCGATCGGCGATGGTACGCCGAGCGGGTTTCGTTGCGCCCTGTCTTCGGTACGGCGTGTGCTGTGCTGAGGGCGGTTCGGGGGGTTCCCGCGTCGCGGTTGTTGTCGGTGGCGTTCTCGGAGCATTCCAGCGTGTTCGGGCTGCTCCCAGTTACGACCGGGACGCTCCCCGAAGGCGTCTGGCTGCTTCGGCCCTGGGGCTTGACCCCCGGGCCGCGGCGGCGGTCGCCGCTGCAGCCGCCGCTGACAGCCGCGAAGCGAGAACCTGGTACCCTGGGACCTCCCCCCCGCCCCCTCTGGAGGGTTTTCGACGCCTCATCCGATCGCGGTCAGCGCGTTCTCTGGGAGTGCAGTGCGCCTGGGCGGTGCTCCTTCGCCCCCGGGCGGCGCCTGGGTCCCCGCCGCGGCGCGACGAAGAGGGGATCGGGGAGATCGATCTGGCTGCTCAGAGCGCGAGGCCTTGGGCCCAGTTCTGGCGATCGCTGGGCCGATACGAGACGAACCTCCTCGCCGTCTGGAGGGGCGGGGCCGTGTGCGCGCCGACCCACATGCACGGCAGCGCGGGCGTTTGCCCGTTCGGTTGCGGGCGCACCCGCGCGTCGGCTCGGCACTTCTGGGCCGAGTGCCCGCGTTTTGTTGGACGTCGGCTCGAACTCGTGGGGAATCTGCGGGTCGCGCCGGCCTGGTGGGGGGCCCGGCCCCGCGTCGCGGCGAAAACGGGGTGGATCACTATGGCTGCCGGGGGCTCGATTCACCGTCGGGCTCAGCTGCGGGTGATAGCGTGCCGCCTCGGCATCGCCATCTTGCAGGCGCTCGCTGGCCTTGGCGGGTGGGCTTTCGGGGACGCGTTCTCTCTGCCTGGGGCCCACCTGGGTCCTCCCCCCCTTCCCTCCCCTTTCTCTCCGGCGGGCGGCGGCCTGGCGGGCGGCGGGACGGACTTCGACGACGCTGACGACCTCCCTCCCCCTCCTGGTGGTGGTGGTGGTCCCCTGGGTGCTCATAGCCGTCTTGATTAGTTCCGGTTCAGTCCTGTGGTCCGCCGGCCCTTTTCCCGCTTCGCGCCCGTGTCTCCTGCGGCCCGGGGGCTTCCCAAGGTTTGAACAGCGCTGCGCGCTGTGGAGGAGGAGGAGGAGGAGGAGGAGGAGGAGGAGGAGGAGGAGGAGGAGGAGGAGGAGGAGGAGGAGGAGGAGGAGGAGGAGGAGGAGGAGGAGGAGGAGGAGGAGGAGGAGGAGGAGGAGGAGGAGGAGGAGGAGGAGGAGGAGGAGGAGGAGGAGGAGGAGGAGGAGGAGGAGGAGGAGGAGGAGAGGAGGAGGAGGAGGAGGAGGAGGAGGGGAGGAGGAGGAGGAGGAGGAGGAGGAGGAGAGGAGGAGGAGGAGGAGGAGGGAGGAGAGGAGGAGGGAGGGAGGAGGAGGAGAGGAGGAGGAGGAGGAGGAGGGAGCAGGAGGAGGAGGAGGAGGAGCGGGAGGAGGAGGAGGAGGAGCGAGGGCAGGGCCGCCGCGGCGGGCGCGGGGCGGGCCCAGGCCCTGCGGGCGCGCGGCGGGGCCCAGGCTGACCACGACAAGACCTGCAACAGGGATACCTGCCTGTTCATCGCCTCGGGTCCCGCCCAAAGGGGTTCCAGGATGGAGGAATGGAAAGGGGGAGGAAAAGGGACATGGATACGAAGGGGATGAAGGGGAGGGAGGCGGTAGGAGGGGAAGGGCGAGGAAGGCAAGCCAGGTGCGCTCGCGTCATATTTGACGTCCCGCTCCTCTTTCCCATCCCTGACCATGGCGTAGACATCCTCTTTTTTCGCACAATCGGATGTCGAGCAGGGCAATGATCGCGAGAGGGTTCGCGATGCATGGTAGATAACTGCAAGGCATGGCGTAGAATAGCACGGCAGATCGTAGCATGCCATTGCATGGCGTGGCATTGCGCAATGAAGCGTTGCATCACAAAACATTTCAACGCAAAACATGAGATCGCACAGCGGCGCAGAAATTAATACTGCACAGCATGTCGCGTCATGGCATGGTGCCAGGTTCGTAGGAGGGTAATTGCGTGGATCGTCTTCGAGAGGTTTGGGCTGGTCTGGAATCGTGGCTCCATGTCTAGGTCCTTGGGCTCCCCAGACAAAACCTCCACACCAGGCGGGGCTGATGGACAGCACCTGCTGGTTCTGATTTCATCATCGCCTGCTCAAAGCAGAAACGGGGCTCCCGCCTGATACCTCCATACAACGACGACGCCTGCCTTCTGCGGTCCAAAACATCAGCGAATCGACACCGAATGTGTAATCACTTCCGATGGTGTTTGCGTGGGTTTTTTTTAGATTTTTTTGGCTTATTTGGAAGGCCCTGCGTCCTCAGTGGCCTGCGCCCTCACTGGCCGCCCTGCGCGGGCATGACCTGACCTTGGAAGGAAGGCCAGCGCTGCAGCGGGAGCACGATTCGGAACGAGCGGAAACGAGGAAATGAGGCCAGCGCTGTAGCGGGAGCACGATTCGGAACGAGCGCAAACCCGACAATGAGGCCAGCGCTTCAGCGGGAACAGCATTTTTAAACAAAAACCCAAGTGAAAACTTAGTTCCTGGGAATCCGGTGTAAACAAACAATACGTGGATGGGGGGCCAGATATCTCCCGGACGTCATCAGGGGAAGGAGGAGTGTAGATCGTGTAATCTTGGAGGAGGGGGATGGGAGGAGGAGGAGGAGACCTGCCTGTCCATCGCCTCTGGTCCCGCCTCCAGTCTAGGCCTCCCAGATGGGGTCGTAGTAGGTGTCGGAGGATCACGCCGCACCGCCGATGCATCGACGATGCGGCTCGATGTGGAGTCCCATTTTCCCCGCGCCGGCGTCGCCGATGTATCGCCGACGTCGCCGATGCGTCGCCGATGCATCGCGCCGCGGGGGTTCTAGGAGGGAGGAAGGAAGGGGAGGGTGAGGAGGAGGAACATGAATCTGAATAGTAATGGTAATAGCAATAATGACAACAGGAATAGGAGGGGTCATAGAAAAACACATGACAAGAAGGTGAAAAGGAAGAATACAGGAGAGGGATGAGGAAGAGAAGGATGTGAAGCACGAGGTGGGGGAAGGGCAGGGGAGAGGTGGGCTTGGGAGAGCCGGATCAGAGTAAACACAGGGTGCCGCAATAGGCCTTCTGTACCAAGTCCCCTCGTAAAAAGTCCCTACAAGCAATCCTTTTCACCACGGGAAGTCTCTTCACAGACGAGGTCACAACTGGCTTGCTATGCAAGTGAGAGCACCGTTTTGAAAAGGAGCCGCCTACCGTCTTTCCAGCTATACCGGTGCCAGGTGGTGGACCCCTGGGGTCCAAGGATATGCTCATCGAGAGCCCAGTCCTGCGAAAGATCTACCATCCATACGTGTAGCAGTTGCGCAGTTTCAAGCTTACCACAAGACAGCTCGAAGACGTCTCGAGCGAGAGTCGGACTTTAATGAGGAAACGCATTGTTTGTGCAGTTGATGCACAGTTTTCATCCTCTGGTCATGGAGTACGAAGATGTCTCAAGCGCCTTGCTATCACAGTGGACGAAGTCCAAAGCGAGAGTCCAATTTCGGAAAGCAACCGCCATTCATACCTCAAGATCTGTGGACACTTTTCAAACGAATGGAGACCACCCGCCTTCCATCCTGGGAGCGGCCACGCGGTTTCTGCAACGAATGTGTGTGCGTCTTGGGCAGCAACCATATTTTGAGACGGGCCACCCTCCATCCGTGAATATGTTCGACATTTTAAGCTGCAGAGTCGTGAATGCTGAAACGTCTCAGGCGAAACGCCCGCCCCGCTCTACCGACACGTTTGGTGGCGCGATTCGGAGGAGTTCTTTTCGAAGAGGACGGATGGTGCATGAAGGTGGGGATGGGTATGAGGAGGGGGAGGGGCAGGAGAATATATATAGAGAGAGAGAGAGAGAGAGAGAGACGAAAAAAAGAGTGACCAGATGACAGGAGAGGAGGAGGAGGGAGGGAGGGAGGGATGGATGGAGGAAGGGATGGAGGGATGGAGGGATGGAGGGATGGAGGGAGTGAGGGAATGAGGGAGACAGGGAATGGGCAGTGAGGAAGGGATGGAGACGGATGGGGGCTGATGCTGGTTCTCCCGCTCCTATTCCTCCGCCTTGCTCTTGACCCTCTCCTTCTTCCTCTTCTTCTTCCTCCTTCTACTCCCTCCTCCTCCTCCTTCTCCTCCTCCTTCGTAGTCCGTAGCCATGTCGGCTCAACTTCACTTCCCGGGATCTCGGCGGCTTGAGCTTGGTCGCGGCCGTGAGGTCTTGGTCGAGGCTGCCAGCCTGCGGGTTGCCTCCGCATCGCGCGACCCTCAAATGTGAGCTGCCAAGCCCGTGGGAGTTTTTTTTTGCTCGCGACATCTTGTCAGCGCACCTTCGCACTCACCTGGTGTGTTAAGTCGGGCATGTCCCTCTACAGGAGGAACATTCAAACATAGGCAACACATAGCTGGGGGACGATTCTGGCGTATTTTCGACTATTTTTGATTCTAATCGAGTTTTTATGTTTCGTCTAAAATCCGCCTGTGGGAGAACACGCCCGACCTGACTCTTGTGTCGCCGCTATGGCTTGTGATAATGAGATCATGAACATGCTGCGCAGCGCGCAGCTGCAGCGTGCAGCTGCAGCGTGCAGCTGCAGCAAACAGCCGACATGAAGTGCATCAACGAGTTCATTCGCCAGACCGATGCGACAGTGCCTCGTCTTTGCCAGCTGGAGCCGCAGATGGTGCAGGTTAACACCCAGATCACGGACACGGAGAAGAAACTGGACACCAAGTGCGAGGAGCGCATGAACGCTGTCAACACCGTGACGAGTCAGATTCGGGACGAGATGACGTCATATGGTGCTGGTACTGCTTCTGGAAGTAGCCACAAACGTCGACGTGCTACAGCATTTCTCGGTTCCGCGTCCTTCTCTGGGCTGGGTGGAAGCTTGGAGAATCGGCCGCCCCCTCAGGGTTCGTCAAGCCCGTGCAGCTGCTGGATCGGAACGTACCCCAGGAAGGTCTTGGACATCACGCGTCGTGCCACTTGGGATCGTATCATTTCTCGTCTGCCCAGCAAACTTATTCATGCAGATGCGACGCCCCATTTTCGTCGTTAATCTCAGGGTCTTGCTGCGATGTGCACGTATTTGATGCATGTCAGATCTAAGGGTGCGATATTTGGGAAGTTCCGCCTTTCCCGACGGATGCAACGCGCCTGCCCCCTTTCTGGTAATCGTTTGGTGTCGCTCCGGACCCTTGGTTGCGGTGGTTCCATCATGACTTGGAGCCCGCGCGTGCTCGCCCGCGCGCGCGTGCCGATGTCGCGGGCGCCGCTGCTTATCACCTGGCGAAGGCGCGCAAAATTGTGGCGCCTCACTCTGTCGACTGCAGGGCGGAGCGCCGACGCGCGCTGGATTTTTCTTGCACGCCTACAAGAGTCACTTTGTACTGCTCTCCGATGAAGCGGGGCCCCTCTGCCGCAAGGACTGCCCGGCTGAAAAGTTGAGTTTCTGGATCAAGGATTTGTCGCTTTGGGCATTACTTGGTGGTGGTCGTGGGCCCTGATGGGAGAAAGAAAATCGGTCCTGGGGTGTTGCTTTGCAGTCTCTTATGGAAACGTCTCAGGCACTTGGATCCGTGTGCTTCGGTTTTACACGACGTATCCACATGTATAACATGCCTTGCCGGCCCGTTGTCCAGCGCGTCGCCCAGTTCTCTGCCGCCAACAGTATGCGCGTTTTTGTGGAAAGAGTGGCGCCGCAGCAGCTATCTTGTGCGCCAAGGTACTCGCTCGCGAGCTCGATGCCGTGGGATGTCGATTCGTGTAGGATTCGCTGCTCAGCGCGAATCCTCTCTCACCATGCCCGTCCTGCCTAATGTCGTGCTGGTCTAAAGTGTGATGAATGTGTTCGTCTACGTGACCTGTTTGATGTTCGCAAGTATGAGGGTGATTGCATGCTGACGTATATGACCTCTCCTACCTGTCGATCATCGGTGTTTATCAGTATGTTGGTGTTTATCAGTATGTTGAAGAATGCTGTCTTTTCCGTCGGTGTCTCCGTCCCTATGTCCTGAATTTCAAGGTATCAGTGCCCGCGAGCTCATTCGTCTCTTCCCCCCTCTATCCCCTGCTGTTGCCTTCCATGCCCGCCTGGATTACTGAGCTTCTGTTGCTCCTGCCCGGGCGGACCTGGCCAGGTTCAGGTGTGCGTTGTTTGGCAGGAAACTGGACTCGTGCATCGCCTCCTCGACTTTTAAGACCATGGCCAAGGCGTGGGCCACGTCCCGCCGTTTTCGTAATCAAGGCCGAGGGGTAGATTTGCATGTTGGTGTTGTAGGTTGTGATGGCAATCCCCTTTCGATGCTGTGCCCGTGCATGCTTCCGGCTGTCCGTGCCTCTCTTTTTGCCTTCCTTGTCGATTGGTGTGAGGACCTCTTCTCAGCCTTTGTTTTAGATTTGGTTCATATCGAGAAAGGCTTTCCAGTGTTGTATTCGATCGGCCTTGCTGTCCATGGGTTGTGCGCTCCCTTTTTACCAGCAGCGTGCCAGTGGGTCAACAGGACCTAGAGCTACTCGTCTCGTGTTCCACGCCAACCTCCGTGCCCAGGCCATCCGATGCCATGCGGGCCGTGCTCTCATTTTTCCGTTCAGGTGACATCGTCTGAGCCTACGAAATGTAGGCCTGGGACTTTCGCTCCTGTCCTCTTGGTTTTGCTCTTGGCCGCTTCGACACCCTCCCTCCCAAGTCTTGTCATGGTTCTTCCTCCTTCTCCTCTTCTTTGCTCCTCCCTTCTCCCTCCTCCCTCCTCCCTCCTCCTTCCTGCCTCCTGCCTCCTGCCTCCTGCCTCCTCCCTCCTCCCCTTCCCCGTCGTCGTCGTCGTCGTCCTCCTCCTCCCTTTCCTCCTCCTCCTCCTCCCTTTCCTCCTCCTCCTTTTCCTCCTCCTCTACTCCCTCCTCTTCCTCCTCCTCTACTTCCTCTTCCTCCGTTTTTTTCCTCCTTTTCCTCCCCTTCCCCCACTTCCGCATCCTCCCTCCTCCCTCCCTCCTTCTCCCTTCCTCTTCCTCCTCCTCCTTCTCCTCCTCGTCCTGGTCCTCGTCCTCGTCCTCGCCCTCGTCCTCGCCCTCGTTCTCGTCGTCGTCGTCCTCCTCCCCCTCGCTCTCCTCATCCTCCCCTCCATCCTCCTCCTCCTCCTCCTCCTCCTCCTCCTCCTCCTCCTCCTCCTCCTCCACTATTTTTCTTTATATTTTATTTCGCCCTGTCGCACCCCGAGGCCAGTTTTTAAAGCGGGCCGGGCGATTCGCCTAAAGTGGCAACAGTTTCACAGATGGAGGGCGGGTGTTTTTCAAAATGTGGTTGTCGCCTCAGCGCGGCGCACCTTCGTTGTCAAAAGCTGCAAGGATTGAGGGCGGTTGGTTTTCAATATGTGGCTCTCGCCTTAGCGCGGTGCACATTCGTTTTAAACATTTGCAAGAGTTTCACGGACTGAGGGCGAGTCGTTTTCAAAGTGTGGCTCTCGCTCTAGCGCCGCGCACATTCGTTCTAAACATTTGCAAGGGTTCCACGGACTGAGGGCGGTTCCTTTTCAAAATGTGGCTCTCGCGCCGCGCACACTCGTTGTACAAATTTGTAAGATTTTCACGGGTTCCCATGATCAGCGTACCAGAAGTGGCGATTTGGAACGATTCAGGAGGACAGTTATGTTGATTCGCAGTGTTGAATTCCCCAAAATGGCGTTCTGGCACTGTTCCGGATCGTCAAGACGCAGCAGTCAGGTTGATACGTGGCGTTGAAATCCCAAGAGCAATGTTTTGCCACGCTTCAGGATCGTAAACGGTTGTCTTCCAACGTTGTAGGGGCCTAAGAAGAGTGAGCTTGGAGAGAGGGTTCATTCCAACATCGTTGATGACTCTTGGGTTTACACTGGTCCTCCTCCTCCTCCTCCTCCTCCTCCTCCTGCCCCTCCTTCTCCCCAACATCGCATGCTTGCGTGCTTCCGTGCGTGCATCTGTGCGTGCGTCCATGCTTCCGCGATTTGGGCGTTACCCCCCTCAACGGGGCGCCCCGGGCGCAGCTGCAGGGGTGGGCGTGCCCGGGCCCTTCCTGAAAGGAGGGGCCAACGTAAGCGGAGGCGCGTGCGCCTTCGAGGGCGCGAAGTTATTTGCGCTTCGTACTTCGCGGTTCGGCTCCGATTCCTCCTCGTCCTCTTCTTCTCTACAGGGGGGCGGGGCGAGAGCGCGGAGTTGTTCGCGCTTCGCGCTTCGCGCAGCGCGAGACGCGAACCTAGGGGCCCTTGATGAGTTTGCTCGATCTTCCTGGGATCTCCTGTGCGCGGGCAGGCGCCCCGAGTCCTCCTTCAGAGAACCCTGCCCACTCAGAGCCCCCCAATCACAATCGAGCAGGCGGAGCCAACGTGACCCAACTGCGTCGAACCATGGGCGGCGGTTTACCCTTTTCAGCAGTCGTGCGTTGGACCCTGCGGCTGTGTGGGCCGACAACATCCTCCCCGTCCGCAGGCCTGGAGTGCCCCGTCCCGACGGACGCGTTCAAGGAGTGAGCCTCCCCCCTCGCTGGCTGGACCCCGAAGCGGTGACCGACGCGGGGGGTGCGGAGGGAGGAGAAAACAGAAAAGCACAGATGGAGCAGGGAGGGAGGGCCCATGCCTCCCTCCTTTCTCCCTTCCTTCCCTTCCCTCCCCTCTTCGTCTTCTGCTTCTTCTTCTTCTTCATCACCGTCATCATCAGCATCATCAGCATCATCATTACCATCATCAGCATCATCAGCATCATCATCATCATCATCATTACCATCATCCGCATCACCATCACCATCACCCGCATCACCATCACCATCATCATCCTCATTTTCTTACGTTTCTCCTTCTTTTTTTCTTATTCATTTGTGCCATCATCATCATCTTCTTCTTTTCGTTCTTCTTCTCACTCTTCCTTCCCCCATCCTCATTTTTTCCTTCCATCCTTCCTCTTTCCTCTCTCCCTCCTTCCCTCCTCTTCCCGTCCCTTCCTTCCCTCCCATTCCCTCCCCTCCCTTCTAGTTGGCACAAGGTCTTCACCCGAAGAAGGACGGTGTGACAGTCGAGCCTTTCAAATGATGCCTCATTCAAAATGGCTTCAGCAATGGATGTGTCCCTTCTTCTTCTTCTTCTTCTTCCTCCTCTTATTTTTCGTTATTTTTTTTCTCTTAGTAGTTGTTCCAGTTTATTATTAGTGTTAGTCTGATTCTTACATGTTACGTCCTCTTTTTGTTATTATTCACCTTCTTACTCCCTCCTACTCCTCCTCCTCCTCCTCCTCCTCCTCCCTGCGTTCCTGCCTCCCCTCCCTCCCTTCCCTCCCTTCCCCCTCCTTTCCCTCCCTCCCTCCCTCCCTCCCTCCCTCCCTCCCTCCCTCCCTCCCTCCTCCCTCCTGTCTCCTCCCTCCTGCCTCCTCCTCCCTCCTCCCTCCTCCCTCCTGCCTCCTCCTGCCTCCCTCCTCCCTCATCCTGCCTCCTCCCGACAGTAGAACAAGAGCGGGCGACCTTCGTGGGCAGGCTGCGCAGAAACGCGCCGCGATCTCGGTGGTCCCGTCGGGCGCGGACCGCTCCCGCGGCCCACTCCGTGCACGGGTCAAGGCACCACGGCTCGGGGGCTGCTAAGGTGCCCCTGGCCCAGTGTGCCCCCAGCTTTTCGCTCGATTCTTCAGCACCTGGTGCCCCCCTGGGCCTCGTGAGGGGTGTCCTGGAAGTCGTGGAGCCCTTGTGGAAATCCTGGGGGCACCTCGGGCCAGGGCGCTTCCAGCAACACCCGAACGGCACGTCGGCAGGCGCCGGCCGCTCAGGTCGGGTGCGTCCAAGAGGGGGGTGATCATTGTCAGAGGAGGAAAAGGTATTCCCAATTTCGTAATAAGAGGGAGGGGGTCACAACCCTCCCAGACGAGCAGTTTTACCCCCCCCCCCCGGACCAGCCATGAAAGGGCGGCCTTTTGCCCAGACCCCACTGGAACCCTCCACGACAGCTCAGATCAGACCCCGCCCCAAAATCAGACCACCACCCTTTTATTGTGAAATCCGGAGTGCCGCTCCCCCCATCCTTGCCTCGTTTTCGCCGCTTTGGGCCTCCTGAGAGGCCCTCGTCGCCACGGCTGGATTCGCTTCGAAACTCTTGCCAGAACGCCCCCTGGGAGAGGTCTCTGTCGGGGGGCGTGGATAATTACAGTCGGGGCGCTGAAGAAGGAACCTTCTTCGTATGTGAGCGGCTCGGTGTTCCTTATTTGTTTTGCAGTTCGCCTTAGTTTTTTCTTAGGTTTTCGATGGGAACTCGCAGTTGAACTCATGGAGAGAAGGGGCCTCGTTCTTGATTGAGGGCCTCGTTGGTCGACGCCACGACTGTATCACAGTCAGGGATCACGGATTTCATGCCCACCCTTCTGTTGATTTCAACATGGTCTTTGTGCCTCGGACCATGGCGTGCCAACCCCCCTCTTCTTGGCCCCCCTCTTCGGCGCACCCGAGCAGGCTGCAGCAGCCCTTTGCTCGTCGAGGCGCCGATGCAGAGGCTCGCTCCACTCCGGTCGCTTGTCCCGCGACGGAGGCCAGCTCCGCAGAAGGCATCTGCACACCACCAGCCAGGGATTGTGGCCATGATGTATCGCCGCTTTCGGTGGACCAGTGGCCTTGGGCAAAACGCGCGGGGCAGACACAGGAGGAACTCTCTGGGCTTCGGCAACATGCGTCGCAAGCAGCGACCAGGCCTATTGGGACTGGGATTTCCCCCTCCCTCATGCCCTGCCCTCTCCTTCCTCCCTCCTGCTTCCTCCTTCCTCCCTCTGGACTGTCGCATTCATGTAGTGCGGCCCCCCTCCCGCTGCTGTTCGCTTGCTGAGCACGCTCGTGGAGAGCCGAACCGAACACTCCTCCCTCCCGTTTTTTCTCTCGCGCCTCCTCCCTCCTCCCTCTTGAGCCTTCCCGCCTCCCTCCTTCCTCGTGTCCGTTACCGTCCTCGCCATCGCCATCGCTGTTTGCGATTACCATCGTCGTCTTCGTCCTCGCCGCCTCCTCCTCCTCCTGCCTCATGCCCCTGCCTCATGCCTCCTCCTCCTCCTCCTCCTCCTCCTACTGCCTTATGCCTCCTGCTCCTCCTCCTCCTCGTTCTCCTCCTCCTCGTCCTGCTCCTTCTCCTCCTCCTCCTCCTGCTCCTCCTCCTCCTCCTGCTCCTCCTTCTCCTCTTGCACATCCGACGCTGGCTCCTCCCTCCTCCTCCTCCTCCTCCTCCTCCTCCTCCTCCTCCTCTGGCCTCACGCCGCTCTCCCCCCCACGGCTCCCTCCTCCCCCCTCGTCCTTCTCCCTCCCTCCTCCCTCCTCTCCCTCATCGCCCTTCTCCTCTGTCTCGCCGGCCGCCGGGTGTTCCCCGTGCGCGTCGGCTCGCCCGCCGTCCCGTGAGTTCGGGGCTCCGAACGCCTGGGCGCGCAAAGGCGCGCCCTGGGCCTCGCGGTGCCAGTGTCGAGGACTGCAGTGTATCGCGGCGAACAGAACCATCTCTTCTTCGCCCCCCAGGAGGGGAAAAACACACAGACACAGTTAATCGTCGATCCCCCAGAGAATATGGGAAAATATGGGAAGTGGGGGGGAAGACGAAAATCCATTAGATATATATATATATATATATATATATATATATATATATAGATATGGAAAAATAAGGGTTTTTTTTTATTTGTGTGTATTCATATTTTTATATATATATATGTATATGTATATATATATATATATGTATACATATGTGTGTGTGTGTGTGTGTCCCAGGGCCCTTTCAGCCCCTCTTGCTCCTCGGACCTCTGCAGGCGTGGGTTCTGACCAGGATTTCGGGGCGATCCAGCCGTGCGGGCCCCGAGGGAGGGCCACACGTCAAAGCCTCGATCCTCGATCCTCGATCTTCGCACCTGCGCCCCCTGCACCTTCTCCTCCTTATTCTCCCCCTCCTCGCTCTCCTCCTCCTGTCTCCTCCTGTCCCCACCTCTCCTCCTCTCTCCTCGCTCCTCCTCCTCTTTATCTGGAGCAAAACGTTTGGAAGAGACAGATGCCATATTCAACGCTTGCAGACGGCACGACACTGGTAGCTAAATCGAGGCAGACACTGGGGCACATGTTAGCTAACGTCAAGCAGCTGTTTGGGCGCATTGATCTGCAGTTGAATCGCAAACAAGTGCCACATCCAATGTGCCTCACAGAGAATGGCGTTAATGAAGGCCACGATTTTTGCAAACATGTATCCTTCGCGCTGCTGCGACAATGGGTTCCAACTCCTAGAAACAATGATCACTAAGCACGGGAACACGAACGCAGAGTCCGAGGCTCGCCGAGAGCGGGCCGGGCGAATCTCTCAAGTCTCTTGCCGCTGTTGGCAAATCTTCGTCCGAGGCTGGACGCCACCGTCTCCTCGATTCCACAGCATCGAAACGTGTGTTACACTGTGCTTAAGTATGGAAACTCATTGCCAAACAAAGGCAGAAGGTGATACTCACTCAGCGGTACACGTTCCAGAGAATGGTGGGGCATAGAAGACATGCCGATGACGAGCACTTGAGATGGATCAAACGGGTCACCTTGCCGAAAGGCCAAACATGCTGTGCTGGGTCGAAGCTCACTTGCAAGCGAAGTAGCGAGTGGCGGGGAATATTGCGAAAACATGCCTATCGGCATGTGGGCATGTGGGCGAGATGGGTAATAACATGGGGAAAGAGAGAGCAAGTCTGGTGGAGAACGCGGTCGAAAGGTACCTTGTCCCGACCAGGCCGCTTAAGACTGAATCGCTTTGCTCGAAGGTACCTTGTCCCTACCAGGCCGCTTAAGACTGAATCGCTTTTGCTAGATGGGAGGAAGATTTGGTGAGTTTCGCCGCGGATGCAAATTGGGAATCATGGTTGTAGTCTTCAACGCACCTGGTCGGCACGTAAGCACGAACGATAATACGCGATGCGCATGAAGCAATGGGTCGGCTAGTTTTGTCCACATGCCCCTTCCAGGGCCCGCGCGCCGACAGCAGTGCGCCCGTCACCTGTCACCCGCATGGGCCGCTGATTTCCGACCAGCGACGGCAGGCTTCGTTGGTTCGTTTATCCGCTTCCTCTTGTCTCTTCTTTTTTCATCCTCCTCTCTTCTCCTCTCTCTTCGCTCCTCCTCATTCTTCTCCTGCTCCTGCCTCTCCTCCCCCTACGCCTCCTTCTCCTCCTTTTCCTTCGCCGTCGTCGTCGTCGTCCTCCTCCTCCTCCTCCTCCTTCTCCTCCCCCTCCTCCTTCTTCCCCCTCCATCTTCTCTCGCTCTGTCCGTCCGTTCCTCTGTCCTTCCCTCCCTCCCTCCCTTCCCTCCCTCCCTCCCTCCCTCCCTCCCTCCCTCCTCCCTGCCTTCCTCCCTGCCCCCCTCCCTCCCTCTGTCCCTGCTCCCACCTTCCCCCTCCCTCATGCCTCCTCCCTTCTCCTCCTTCCACTTCCACGGCCCCAGCACTCGTCCACCTTTCGGACAAGTAGCCACCGGGGCCTGGCGTGTGAGGTACCTTCGAGTCCGCCGACAGTCGGCGCCGAGCGAGGCCCAAGCCGAGCCTGCGCCCGAACGTGCCAATGGGCAGGCCTCGCGCCGTCTTCGGGCCCAGACTTGGCCAGTGCAGCCTGCGGGAGGGGGACGGGGGCAGGGGGATAAGCCCGAGACGC